TGATATAAATTTGTTAATGTTGCGTAACTTTCTATAATGGTTATAGCTTCTCTTGTTTATGTAATTTATATGTTAGATTTGTTAATACTGTTTGTGAGGGGATTTTCTCTGTTTGGCTTTAGTAATTTATCTATATTATCAGCATGGGTAGTTAGTGGAGGGCTTTCTACATATCTTTTTATTGTCCACGAAGATTTTCTTTTCATGGTTGTTTTTTCATTTTTTTCCAATTTTCTATCAGGTGAAAAAGCGTAACTCAGAAGAAAGCTCTACACAGTGGACTACTGGGTTTGTCGAGGTTCAGCTGCCAATAGAGTATGTCTTTTTCTAATTTCTTGCAATAGACTGCAATTTTGATAGTGTATCAGGACCTGAGGCCCCCCCCCCCCTCCACAATCCCGATCCAAAGCCCCAGCACAAGCAATGTCACTAGTCTTGTGGAGGGCCCCATCCGTGTTGATCTTGATCCAATCCAGGGGCAGCAGATGCCAACTGATTAGCCTCGCATTCTTTTGGAGAGGGCGGTCCGACAGCTTGGAGCAAAAGCTGGAGGCCTGAAAAGTATATTCTATCATCCTACAAATATCTTATCTCAACTCATCCACACTAAGTGACTGGCCATTAAAAACTAAGGCGTTCCGTTGTTTTTAAAGTAACCAGCAGGTGATGCCAAAGACCGTCCTCCACTCTTGTAAGGAAAAATACCAACTGTGTTGATTCTGTAAATTGGTGCAGAGTCACTTATCAAAAGTCATGTTGAAGAAGGTGTTGATGGTTGTGCGCGAAATAATCTTCTATTATAGAGCCTGCGTTTGATGACACTCCCTTAGGTCATGGTTGACGTCCTTAATGCCACGATGACACACCATGCAACACGGGTCATCCGCCATATGCTATTGGACCCTCTCTGCACCGTTAATAAGCCCTTTCCTAAGAAGTAGCCACAAGAAATACCTAATAAGTTGTACTCCCGGCTAACTCTATACGAGGCTCCATCTCTTATCTGCAAGAGGAGAAGAAATGTCACTAATCATATGATAAGCGATTTTGACAGAAAACTTACCATCTGCAGAGGCGCCCCAGTAAGGCACATCAGAACTGAAGCCCTCATGCGGAACCCTCATCAGGGCTAAATGTAGAAGAATCCTAATTTGGAGCCTGTTCCATAACTAGTGCCAATTTCATTGACCATTTTGAGTGACCAAATCCCTAACCATTTGAGTTTTGCTAGAGTCATCAAGGAGCTGGTAGGCAAGGAGTTTGAGTGGCCTGCAACCACCTAACTAATTGTCCTCCCAAAATCGCACCGTCTTGCTGTCACCGATATACTAAGCCAACCCTAAGTGAACATCCTCCCCAAAGGCCACTTAACTTCCTCTATAGGTGGGAATAAGGGGCAGAGTATTTAGTCTCCATATCAGAGAGGTTCCACTTATACTTATGCTGCAAGACCTTGACCCAAAGAAAATGCGGCTGAGCAATAATATTAAAACAAATTTTCATGAGGAAGACTTTATTGAGGTTCCTAAGATTTATGATGTCACCACCCCCACGCGTGATGGGTTGGCACATCTCATGCGAGCTAACAAGACTCGTCTTGCTCACATTGATGGAGAAGCCCCAAATGAAGTCTCGCACTAACCAGTCAATTTGATTACACAAATAGCTAGGGAGCGAGGCAGTTTACATGGCATAGGTCAGGATTGCCATAAGCGCAGACTTGGCGGGGGTCAGTCTACCAGCCATAGATAAGTTGGTAGCCTTCCACCCAGAAAGCCTCATATATACATTGTTCAAAATATATATGTAGGTATCTTTAATAACCCTGTCATGCAAAAGAGGAACCCCCAAGTACATACCCAGGTTATTAAAAACTTAGAATCCAAAAGTAAAACTAATACAGGAGGTCACCCTATTATTAACATTGTGAGAGAAAAAGATGCGCGTCTTGAACGTGCTGATCTTGTGGCTGGAACAACGGTAGAACTCATCCAACACCCTCTTAAACCTGCAAGTTTTGAATATAAATTATGAGTGGTGGCAATCGGATAGTACATAGTTGACTTATTAATTAATTGAATGATATATATATATATATTAATAATAAAAATAATTAAATAATTTTAAAATAAAAATACAAACGAGATTCGAATTCACAATTTTTTATAATAATAAAATCATATCAATCATTCAATTAAGTAGTGTATTTTATTGAACATTACAATCATATTTATACATATTTTAGGACAAAAAAATAGACAATTAATTTATTACATTTTTAAACTGATTTATTTTCTTTCTAATACTCAAAGTGACAGATAGAGTACAATAGACTTCTTCAACATCAATAGAGATAAGAGCTAAGAGGTAGGAGGTAGGAGGCAGACAACTAAGGGTGAAAAGCAATGAGTACAATAGAGCTAGTGTTCATCCCTGCACCTGGTGCTGGCCACCTTGCATCAATGATGAACACCGCAAAACTCCTTCTGGATCACGACCCTCGCCTCTCCATCACTGTCCTTATCTTCCCTTCATCCTACGGTTCTTACACCGTCAACACTATTATTAATCCTAAAACCTCATTCTCCACCGTTGACCATATTCGGTTCATTGACCTCCCTCACGTACAGCCCACCTCAGACACAGGCAACAACCTCCTTCTCTTCTTTACTTCCCTCATCAAATCCCAAAAACCTCATGTTAGAGAAGTTGTTAATGAGCTCGTTCTGACCAAATGGGGACGACCCGACTCGCCTCGGCTAGCTGGATTCGTCTTTGATATGCTATGCACGCCGATGATGGAGGTGGCTAAAGAATTTGGGGTTCCTAGCTACTTGTATTTCACGTCAGGTGCAGCTTTTCTTGGCCTTCAACTTTATATCCCGACTCTCCGTGAAGAGCAGAAAGTTGATATGACTGAGTTGAAGGACTCAAATGCTGAGTTGGTCTTGCCTTGCTTGGTCAACCCAGTTTCTGCTAGTGTCTTGCCTTCTATCATGTTGGACAAAGATTCTGCTGCAGTTGTACTCGAACACGCGATAGGGATAAAGAACACCCGTGGGATTCTGGTGAACACGTTTACGGAGCTGGAATTACATGTTATACGCTCATTAGAAGATTGCAACAACAACCCTACCATCTACCCAGTGGGACCCATTCTCAACCTGAAGAGGGACGCTGATGATTTGGAGATCATGAAATGGCTCGACGGTCAACCGCCCCTTTCGGTGGTGTTCTTGTGCTTTGGGAGCATGGGAAGCTTTTCTGACGAGCAGGTGAGAGAGATTGCCTACGGGCTAGAACAGAGTGGGTACCGGTTCTTGTGGTCCCTACGGAAAGCCCCATCGAGCGACCAGATATCAAACCCGACTGAATTCGTGAATCTAGAGGAGGTATTGCCAGAAGGATTCCTTGATCGGACAGCTGAGAAGGGGAAGATCATTGGATGGGCTCCACAAGTTGAGGTGCTGGGTCACCCAGCTGTGGGAGGGTTCGTTTCCCATTGCGGGTGGAATTCGGTGTTGGAAAGTATATGGTACGGGGTGCCAACTGCCACGTGGCCACTATACGCAGAGCAGCAAATGAACGCATTCGAGATGGTGGTGGAGTTGGGATTAGCAGTGGAGATTAAAATGGATTATAGGAGGGAGTTTGGCTTTCCTGATGACATGATTGTGAAAGCAGAAGAGATAGAGAAAGGAATCAAGCGGTTAATGGAGGAGGATAAGGAGTTGAGGAAGAGGGTTAAGGTAATGAGTGAAAAGAGCAGGAATGCTTTGACGAACGGTGGATCTTCACAGTTAGTATTGACTCGTTTTATTGCAGATGTTATAGGATCGTAAGTCCAGAGGAATGATGATTTACTTTTACTGAAAAAAAATAGCAAGAATTTGTTTTGGCAGAATTTGACAAGCTCTTGTTCAGCATATTTATGGCGAAGTAAATAAATTCATCGACTCGTCTCCATCAAAATATTCAATTGTTTGATGTTTTTCAACAGT